AGTTACACCTTTCTGAATCAGTTAAAGAGAATGGGTGTAGACTGGTGGAATAGTGTTCAGGATTGCATTGTAAGTGACTAGGGCAGCAGTCCTAAGAATCCTGGGAGTAAGCCCCACTACTGTCCAATGAGTGCTCACCCCAAGCCCATAGCTACATTGAAGCATTCTAGGCCCTGGGCCCCGGACTCCCTACCAACACCCCACAACTTCCCCACCTGTCAGCAGACCCACAGGCTCCATCCTGGGCTGGCGGCCGAATCGGGCAGAATCAATTTCAGCCAGCTGAAAGACTCCCGCGTGTCAATTTCAGCAGTACGAGCCCATTGGGGAGTCTTTCCGCCAGCCGAATGTCAATTTTGGCCCCATTATATCCTATGGGCCGTTGAAGTCAATGGCGAAAACATAGGGTATATTCTAGGGGGCTGGAGGGGAGATGGTTTGAGGGAGAGGCTCCAGACTTGCAGGGTAGCTGCTGCAGCCTCTCCCCAAGATACTCACCAAGTTTCAAGAACATTGGACCAGGGGGTCCAATTCTTTTTTTTCTTTTGGCCCCCCGGAGGGGATTTTTTTATTGCATTTTTTAACAGACTACAAACTACAATGAAAATTTGGGAAGGGGTAACTACATCTAGGGAGAAAGGAAAGAAAACCACAACTAACTAAAACCCCAAGTATAGGAATAACAACAGTTTATATAAATGTTAATCTTAAATTCCTAGTATTACTTTGAACATAGTCAGTTATGCTAAATTATTTATCTTTTTATCCATTGATTTAACTGTTTAAGAGAACCCCAAGAGCGTCCAATAATAAAACCAAAAATTTAAGGCACATTTCAGAGTCCTTCAGCCTTCATTTTGTTTTATCTTTTCTCATCCTCAATTGATATGCATGTTTGGGGGCACCCGCCCCTTTATCGGAAGCAGAGTCCTCATCGGAAGACACCGAGTCCAATTCACCACTGGATTTGCTGTCATCATCTTCCTTAGCGACCTCGTCTGTCTCTCCCAACTGCAATCTCAGGAACTCACGTGCTTTAAGGACAGAGTCAATCTTTTCTTCTTTATCATGTAGTTTGAAAATGATGCCTTCTGGAATTAACCATCTGTAGGCAATGCTGTTTGTTTGTAGAAAAAGGATTAAATCTTTATATTTCTTTCTCTTTTGCCTTATTTCAAATGGGATGCCTTTTAAAACCCTGATGATGTTGTCCCCGATTTTCAAGGGTGTTCCTGTAGTTGCTTTCAGGATTGAATCCCTCACACGCCTCTTTGAAAATCTGACCACTATCTCCCCAGGCAGATTATTCTTCTTGATATACACGGAGTAGGACTTATAGACCACATCCATTTCGTTTGCAAGATATTCTGCTTTCAAATCTGTAACTGGGGCTAATGCTTCACTCAAGAGTTGCTTTAGATTCTCACCTTTTAATTCTGGGACCCCTTGAAACTGGAGGACCAAATTTGCTTTCTCCATTTGCAGCTGTAAAAGTTGAGATTCTTCCGAAGCTTGCTTCTTTTCCAGCTTTTGCACCTTTTTCTTAACTTTTTTAGTGTTGGCGTCCATTTCCTTCACCTTCTCAACTGTTTGCTCCGTCATTTTTAAAGTTTCAGTCAGTTGGAGCTGCTGAGTTGCAAGGTTCTGATTTAATGTTGTTAGCTATTGTTTGATGTTGGTCATCTGGTCCAGCTGAGGGCGCAATGAATCTGCCAACATTTTGGAGAACTCAGTGACCTCTTCCGGTCAAGGGATCATGCTCCCCGCTGGTTTCACTTTTGTTAGTTTGTCTTTCTCTGCCCTCTTCCCCACCATCCTTATGGATTGTTTACTTTTATAAAAACTTGCTAAAGTCTCCGAAACTCGCCCATACGCCAATCCGCACTCTGGTAAGTCTCTCAAAACAGATTTCAATGCTTTTTCTTCTGCTCCCCCCTTGGTATATAGTTTTTTAGCTCATGCGCATGGGAGGGGCTCCTCCACTGCTCGCTTTTTTTGCCGTTCCCTGGGGGGAGCTTTCTTTTTAAATTCCCATATTCGCTTTAACCCGACTCACTGTTCATTGTTGGTCATACAACCTTGCTCAGAACACATTTGAAACACTCGATCTCTGATGCTTGTCCC